AGTTTATCAATCTCACGGATGCTTCAATCAAGATGGTACGTTGGCCTCGGTCGTGGGAATGCCCAAATTTCAAGCCCATTCCGACCACCTATTCGTCTAACATGTACGCTGCGGTATAGATCGAATCACTCCCTACTCGTTCCAACGATGAGCAGCCGTTACAAAACATTTTGAGCATATCTACTGCGGGCAGAAATCGATATCTTCTCCACTTCAACTCACACCACTCTCTGATTCAGTGGACGGCAGGAATCCGTCTTGCCATGTTCGAGCACTCAACCTTACAGGAGGCTTACACCGGCGCCTTGATTGCGGCCAAGGGAAAATCACTGAACAATATCAATGTGATCATGGAGAGATCACGCATGAAGTCAGAGCAGTGGGTCAGAGTTCGCTTCGGTGCCGGTGTGCCGTGGCGTCGCTGCTGGTGTGTTACTTCCCCCCCGGATGAGAAGGAATACCAGAAGCAACAGAAAGAACTCAAGAAGAGGTCTGCCTATGACCGGTCTCACGCCCCTGTTCTCAAGGGAGATATCAAATTCTATGATTCCAGAAAGGACGGGAAAAAGCAAAAGAAGGCTCAACCAATTGCCACCATTACTGATGCATACTCTGCCTATGCGATTTACCCCCAGGCAAAATCTTTGATTGACGCTTCAACACTGCTCAAGATTGAAGGCCGTGTTACCGTCCACTCTGATCCGCCTTCATCTACTGAAGGCTTCATCTTCATCATGCCCGAGGTTCATCCGGCTGTCAGCGGCTTTGAGATGCTGCTTCGTTTCTTATTCCCTACGTGGGACTCTTTTGGTCTGTATGGCAGACCCGGCAGATTGGTTGCAAGCGTTCTTGACCCGCGATCGCTCATGTTTGCCATGCCCAAACACAAGCGCTACGGATATCTTGAGATACTCGATGTTTCGACGCTGATTCTCGACGAAGGCAGTACGTCATGGTCAGAACGAGAGTGGCGCAAGCGACTAAAGGACGCTACCGGGACACGAATGAATGCACTGGAAGACGGTTCTAGATCCCATTCTCGTAGTGCGAGTCGTTCCAGTGCAAGACTTAGCTTTGGCAGTGGAGGTAGACCCAAGGTTGGGTTTGCTGATGATGGCAACTTGGTATGCCTTAAATCTCATGCACCGTCATTAGCGCGCATCGTTACCCCTGCTTCTACGGGTCTTTCATACTAACATAGGCAAGCAGCTGCAGCCGGGTCGTGAGCCTCACCATTTGCGTAACGTATCAGATCCAAATCTGGGTGGTGCGCAACGACATGATGCTGGAGCTGGCGGCTCACCACCACGGCACCAGCCCCCCCTTCGTGGAGGCCCTCCCGGTCAAATGATTCACGAGCCTGCGAGCTCTGACGAAGAGCTAGGCGCATCTCCGCCCCCTCCAATGCACAATCTGGAAGCCATGAGAAGTCTCCAGACTCCTGAGCCGGTTTCAAGCCCTCCAGCCTTCAGTCATGGACCGCAAGCTAGACCGACCAGCAATCCGTATCACTCCCCTGAGCTCCGACGAGCGAATAGTCGGCTTTCAAGCTCGACACTTGCCCAGATGGCCACGGCTGGTGGCATGGAAACCGACTCGCAGGGTGGTCGTTCACCAGCCAACTACAGAGATGGTGAGGATGGTGCGCTCTACGGACCCGCGGGATACTCGCATGACCATTCACTAGGAACTTACGCTAATTCTGGAACCCCTGATGCAGCCCCGAACCCAGGAGGCCAAGGACAACTACCTGCCACGAACCTGCCTGGCCCAACCCTTCCAAACCTTGAGATTCCGAACCATCGATCAAGGGGCCCCGTGGGACCCATGGGGCCTCCCGGTCCCCACGGCCAGAATCCCAATTCACGTCCTGGCACCTCGGAAGGACGTCGATCGCCCTATCCTCCAGGATCAGGCCCGTCGCGATCACCTAATCCTCCGCAGCAAGGCTTCCGACCAGACCAAGCTCGATCTCCTCATGGTCCCCCAGGACCGCCTGGGCCTTATGGGCGCGGGCGACCCCCTCCAGGTCAAGGACCCCCAAACGGACCCCCTGGCCAGTATGGTAATTATCGACCTGCACCAGGCGGGCCGCCACCGCCTGGTGGCCCCGGGGGTGGTCGGGGCGGCCCTCCCGGCAATCCCCATCGAAAACCAGTCCCACGACAAACCAACAGCATCACTCCTGATCACATCATTGATCACTATACCTCCGACCCGTATGGCGGCCCTGTACCTGGATATGATTCAAGGCCAGTCCCGCCCTCACACAACCAAGGCCTCGGATTTGACGGTTCAAATGGAAACCGCGACGAAGATCGACCTCGTGCTGGCGTGTTGAAGACTGTAGGGGGTGGAGAGCCTCCGTTGCAGAAGAATTCGGAATTCAATATCCCAGACGTCAATTTTGGCCCTACTGTTAATTATGGTGCGTCGGCGGTGCCGCGAAAACAAGTCCCAGGACCTGTCGAACCTTCAATGCGCAGTCAACCGCCAGGCTACTACTCCCCGGAGCCTAATCCGAATGTTCACGCGCCTCGGTCAGGTCATGGGAGACAGGAACCCGTGGAACCTGGCCAAAGAACTATGGCCTGGCAGCCCGCGGGTACCTATACTACATCGGGATCAGGAGCAGGAGCAGGAGCAAGAGCGATGACACCAGAACAGTACGTCCAACATCGAGCCGCAGCAAACTCGCCACAGTACGGCGGTAATCTCGGATTTGGAGGACCTGGGGCTATGGGTGTCAGGAACCCTAGCCCTCAACCTCCATATCCAGGCGCTGGACGCGGAGCCAGTGGCCCGCCTCCACCTCTTCATGGAGGCCCCGGAGGCAATCCTTCTCGACCTCTCGGCCCTCCGTCATCTGGCTTACCTCCACAGGGACAATACAACCACAATCAGGGTCAAGTCCCTAGTCATGCTCCATACCAGGGCCAGGCCTTTTAAGCTGGCCAGTATCGCCGAGCTGAAATGAAGAAAGAGATGACCGAATAACGAATGTTGCATGAGCAGGCTGCTGGGCCTTTTCTTTGTTTGGCAGTGACTGCTTTATCCAGTGTGTTACATAAAATTAATGGGCGACACGAAACGCGCCATTGGATGCATATCACAAGACGGGCGTTTTTCTTTGTTCACGAATTTGGAGGATTGGGTCGATTTTAGCATTGGCAACAATGCAAACTAGCGCGTTGGGAAAAGGCGTATACCATGTTCCGGCCTGTTTATCGGGGCTGATACTGTACTCTTTGTTTCTATAGCTTTACTATTCTCTGTCTATTCTTGGTTTGACGTGGAGGACCTTGATTAAAGTTGAAGGATTTGCTAGACTGACATGGCGAAATCGGCAGCCTCCGTTTTGTCACCGTTCTTCCATGATTAGGAACAAAAAATAGAAGGGGAAGGGAGAATATGGTGTTGTTGTTAACAGAGCCCAAATAACCTAACCGGGGGGGTCTGGAGGACCAAAAGCTGGCATTCATTAGGCATCTCTTATCTCATTTTCATAGAACCTACTTGGAATAGACGTTGACCCGGGAGGACTTTTCCGGATACCAAAAAAATGGAGAAAAATAAGAAAAGGAGGGTGGCACGAGTGTAGGAGTGAATTCTAATGGTTGGCTATGACCACATCCTGTTGAAGATGTTGATGTCCATACGTATGTACTGCGTTGGATGATGTGAAAGCAATTAGCTCGGGGTATTGGTCATGACGAAATGCCACCTTGTGGGCGTATCTTGAGTAGAAAACCCAGAGATGCTCTGTCAGAGCTCTCCGGCCAGATGAACGAATAGTTGACATGCAAAACACCCAACCGATGCAACTTGGGCACATGGATTGGCCACGACTTGGTGACGGCCAGGCCAGGCTGGGATATGGATGGGTCCATGTCAGGCGAGTCTGGTCGTCTGGTATGTGTGGAGGGGGTCCGAACCGCCAATCGCCACTGCCTGGTGCTTCCGAGTTGGGGCATGCCGCGGTCACACCCCGGCGAGTACGAGTACTTGAGTATGTATGTTGCTGAGGGCTCGTCTCGTGCCGCCGCGGGACGGGGAGCGTGACCCGAGTCCGCATGGGGGAGGTTTTGTTAGGGCCTCGAGGAAGGAAGGGTTGACCGAAGGACCAGAACGGGCACTTGACCTGTTGGTTGGTTGGCTGTAGTACATTGGATTCTGGGATGATACGGAGTACATACGTAGTTGACTCCATTCGAGGTGGTTTGTGGCCCGAATTACAGGTTGGAGGAATGTCCTCCAAGGCGTCTTCGTCTGGTCCTCCCTTGGGGTGGCATTGGACTCAAGTCAAGTCATTGTGATGGTGTTTCCATTTATACATATGTTTTGTGCCTGGCTGGCCAGGGGCTGGTGACCGGATCGGAGCTTGATGTTTTTTGGACGCTGGTTGCCGCAGATGCGTCTAGTCGCTCCTTCCACTTCGAGTCCCCCGCTATGGGGTCTGTCGACGGGTGGTTGCCCTGGCGGACCAGGTCGACCCCGCCAAGCCAAAGGCAACAGTCCTAAGGTTGAGAGCCCAGCTATGGCAGCCTGTCACAAGTCCAACGCGTTGGTAACGTCCGGCATTGATGATCCCTGCTTTTCAACATTTCTCCCCCCATGTAGGCATATCGACTGCTACGATTTTCTTCGTTTTGCTTTTCTTCTTTTGTCCCTTTTCGCCTTGCTCCGATCCAGCTGCCTCTTTTTTTTCCTGACGAAAACTAGTGCCTGGCCATGCAGAGTTCTGTCGTTATTCTCTCTCGCAACGACGACCATACGTATTCCCTACGCCTGTAGTGGCCGATTCCCTCGCCTGTTCGACAACGGGCACTGTTGCATCTTGCCCTGCGACGTCGACGTCTCACAGAGTTGAGCTTGCGGCTGCCATCTTCACATTGCCTCGCCGCCGGCTGCACAACCCTACACAGCCCGATTTCCACGCCTCAAACAAAAAAAAAGTTGACGCTGCTTTTGCCGCCGGGTCCCGAGTAGGGTCGCTTCCAATGGACGGCGATGAGCCTACACAAGGTATGGTTGACCCGAGTTAATCGGAGACCTATCCGGGTTCTAGAAGGGAGCATATCTTTGGCTGACAGCTTGACCTCTTCTTCTGTTTTCCAGCGACCCAAAATGTCCTCGATCCGCGACGCATAGGGAAGCAGAACTCTGGCTTCTCCGACGAAGACGTTTCTGACATCATTTGCGTCCTGTACCCGCACTCCGAGTCGGCACGAGAAGAAGTCCAGAGACTAGCTAAAGAAGACTCTCCGTATATTATTGGCAAGAACGAGGCGGATGATGTCGAGCCAGACTATGAATTGGAGGATCATGCGAGCCGGTTCGAGTCGCATCCTGTCAGCCACGGGAACTACGCCATCATCTTGAGGCTTTCGTCTCCCGTCAAGAGCCCCTCTTCTGGATTCGCTTTTGGCAGAAACAGTGCTAGGTGTGATATTGTTTTTGTCAACGATCCCTTGCGCCGGATTAGCAATGTCCATTTCCGCATCTATGTCAACGAGTATGGAAGTGTCATGATTGAGGACCAATCAACCAACGGCACTTTTGTCGATAGACAACTCCTTACGCGTCACCCCAAGGACAAGTCGGCACCGGCAAACAAGTGGGTGCTGGGTTCTGGGAATCTCATCCGAATTGTGTTGCATAGCGAGACTCTGGATTTGACTTTCCGTGTCAGGATACCTCGTCGTGATGACGATTATGACCGTGCATACCTCAACAAGGTCAATGAGTATTTTATCCACCATGGCTTGCACCCGGCGAGCGGCGAAATACCGGGTATCAATTCTAATACCAAGACCAACCCTGGGCCCGTTGACCTCTTCAAAGCGCCTGGAGGGCCGCAGGCAAACAGGGTAGCATTCGAGGCGAGTCCATCTCCTCGCCTGTCTCCTAAGCGAAAGGACTCTCATGGTGTAATACGCAATGAGTGGAAGGGCTCTGGGAAATACAACCGCATAGGCATGATTGGCAAGGGAGCTTTTGCAGTGGTGTATAAGGTGACATCAAAATATGACGGACTGCCCTATGCCGCAAAGGAGCTTGAGAAGCGACGATTTATCAAAAATGGTGTCCTTGATCAAAAAGTTGAGAATGAGATGAAGATTATGCAGCGCGTGAATCATGTAAGTCTACCGCCTATTTGTGTCTCGTCAGAGAATGAGCTAACAGCAAATTGTTAGCCCAATATTGTGCGTTATATTGAGAATTTTGATTGGGAGGATCGCTTATTGATTATTATCATGGAGTACATCCCTCACGGTGATCTGGGCAAGACTATTTCCGACTTGGGCGCATTTACTGTGGAAACGACACAAACCATGTCAAAGCAATTGCTCAGTGCCTTGGGCTATTTACACGCCAATAATATTACCCATCGGGATGTTAAGCCAGACAATATTCTCATCCAATCCATGGATCCCCTGGTGGTTAAGCTCACCGACTTTGGATTATCTAAAATGGTTGATACGGCAGAAACATTCTTACGCACGTTTTGCGGAACTCTCCTGTATTGTGCACCCGAAGTGTACACAGAGTATGCCGAGTATGATGACAATGGAGTCCGAAGCCGAGGCAAGAAGATGCGCCGTGTGCCTGGACAGAGATATAACCATGCGGTGGACATCTGGTCTCTTGGAGGTGTGCTGTTTTACTCACTGACCGGCGCACCACCTTACCCCGTCAAATCTGGCATCAGCTACTCAGAATTACTGCACAAGATTATGACAACGAATTTGGACACCTTGCCCCTCCAAAGATTTGCCGTATCTGGGGCCGGCATTGACTTCATTCAGCGAATGCTTCAGAGGCGGCCCGAGAATCGCTCAACTATAATCGAGCTTGAAAGCCATCCCTGGCTTTGTGGCTTCGGCGCCACTGTACAGGCTTCCCAGTCTTATGATGAGATCACGGATGATGAAGAGTATCCGTCACAACTCGAACAACTAGTTGCGTATGATAATGACAGAGTGAGCGACTCAATGAGCGATATTTCAGACAAGGAAAACGGTTACATGGATCATGGTGCACAACCACGCTTGTTCGGGGAGGTTGGTGTTTCTGCCATAGGCTCCTCTGGTGTTATTCCTGAAGATTATCTTCATCTGCCCGACCAGAACAGCATGGGTGCCACAGACATTCTGGACTCTCACGAGGACGAAGCCTACGATTCAGGGGACTCGGACACAATCAAGGCAAAGACTCGGCGTGCGTATCAACACAACACCACGTCGATATACCCAAACCAGTCCGCAGACCAGCTCCAAAGTCTGGTAGAAAACGTAGCTTCACAGAGTCTTGGAGGCAATGCTTCAGTCATTCAAGAACCGGGTGCGTCGCAACGGCTGTCCTTTTCCGTGGACCCCAATTCGAGTAAGAGAAAGCCACCATCGTCCGGTACAAGCGAGGAATATGACGAGAACACACCTCCCGGGAAGCCTATCATAAAGAGATTGAAATCGGAGGGAAGCCCTGAGGATCCATCCCCCGAAACGCTAGAGGAATATAGACTTTTGGCCCGAATGCCGCAAGTAACAAGACTTAATTCTGGCAGGCAAATCGACTACCCTGTTAGTAAGATGGTGTGGTGGCAGCAAGACAGGAGGACTTGGCATTTGCGATATCCCGAAATGACACAGCGCCAACATGATGCTTTCAGACAAGCGGCAAAGGAAGGGGGCGAGGAGTTTGGCCCTGGCAAGACGCCCCTCTGGGATCTGGCAATGAAATACTTTGCTCCCGAGCCTAGACCAGAGGGCAGAAACGGCCAATCTGCAATATCTCTACCCGTCGGACTAAGGCGAGAAGATAGTAGGATGGTTGACGATACGGTGGAATTCCCGCCAACAGCGGCGCCAATCGAGTCGTCCTCAATACCCGATACCTGCCCTCCCGATACGAAAATCGTTGTGCCAGTTCAAGAGAGCCTATTAACGAACAGAGCGCTTGCATTAGTGGACACTGATGCCTCTTCTTGTGTCCAAGGAATCACATTCCCAATCACCGACTCATTAGTGTCGTTTGGCAGAGGTCCAGATAACACGGAGAGCTTCAAGGAAAAGCAGGAACCCCGAGTGCCAAAGTACGCCTTCAAAATCATGCTGTGGAAAGATGGTTTCGATCCGTCAAGGCATTCTACAGCAGGAGATCAGCCATGGTGCAAGGAAGCGTCGCAAGAAGATGCCCAATATCACTTTTGGATATCTACAAAGGCCACTCTGGGCCTCAAGATCAATGGGTACAACTTGGCATCATCAGACCCCAAGAACCCGAGTGGTCCGTCTCAATACTGGGCCAAGATTTACAACGGCGACTCTCTCATGATTTGGGGCGGGCAGGATCCTAGGAACCAAACCAGACTTACATTCAGATGTTTCTGGGGAGGATCCTCGACTGCACGCCCCGTAGAGAGACAACAGCTGGAGCTGGCCAGTCCCCAAGTCGCCGCGAAGCTAGACGCTGTGTGTCAGCGAACCGAGAAGCGAGTTCGGGACGCTACAGAACGAAAGCGCAAGTCTGATGAGGCCAGTGCGGATATTGCGGAACGATCGCGGCAAGTAGATCGCGAGCGAGAACGCAGCCGTTTGTTTGAACAGCAGCGACTGGAGGCCGTTGAATTTTGGGCCGCGAGACCAGCTCTTTCAAGGAAGAGTTCTCCTGCTAGTACCTCAACGAGGATCTACTAGGCGGCGAATGCTAACTCGAGTCTCGATAAAATACCACGACCTGCGGGACGGTAATAAATGATCCTGGGGAAGGGTTCGCGAGGCTTTTACTTTCATTTTATACTCTATACCATGTTGGAGCTGGGCCATGTATGGCGAATCAATATTTTTTCTTTTTCTTTTTCTTTCCGGCAGGGATATATGCGAGGATATGATCATTCAATAGCATCATGAACAAAGACAAATCTGGATTATAGAAATCTAAAACTGAATACAGACAATTTAGGGCAAGACCTAGTGGCTTCGTGGTTGAATGGTGTGGGCAAGAATGCTGGGCGTTCAGAGCCCGCCCAAGATCCCTCACTATTATTGCCTCCAGGCCACTCTTCTGATCCGCGAGTTTGCGGATTACTCGTCGTGCTGTGCATGTTCAAATGCTAAAAGCTACCGTGATTATTCGTCGTTTATACATCCGACAGAAGCAACTTGATAACAAACACTACATTCGGCGATTGCCAGCTAGGCGTCCAACAGGTCTGAACTAAAACAACGTGAGCAAGACTTGCCATTATTGCGTAATTGCGCTCATAGGCTCGGTGACTTCCGAGAACGACACAGTAGGGTCAAGATCGATACGTTCTGCTAAGCAATTATTATCCTCTTCGGTTTCGGGCTTCCACAATGAGGAGTCGTCCCTTGGAATGTGAAACTCTACACGACTGTCAGATACTATTAACATGGCTCAAGGGCTGAAGAAACTCACCAAGCAGTTTTGTTGGCTGGACAGGCGACGAAGGCGGCGAAGCTGGCTCCTCAATTATAGGCTCTGGTACACCATCGTGAAAGTGCCAGTCATAGGGTCTTGGGTTCTGGGTACTCGCCCCCCTGTTGCTCTTCCAGTCCCATGTGCTGCAAAACTCGCTGTTGGTGGCATTGTGGATTGGGCGACTTCGGGGCTTGTAGTATGGATTATCGGTAGAGCGGGAATAATCTGTGAAGACGGAGCGGGCGTATGCTGTCTCATTGGGGATGTGTGGTTTGAACTTGTTTGTAGGCTTGCTGGCGTTTGAACCTGAAGAAAAGGACGGGGCGGTTGAATTTCTATGACCTGGCTGGGAGTATTCGCCCGTACCGATTTGCGAGTTGTTTTCTTCCCACTCGGCCCTCGGCGCCGACCTATTGTTCTCTGTTGCATCTGGACTTCTGGTTCCTGACTGATTAGAGCCTGTCCGGCCAAATTGAAACATACTGAAGTGAGACTGTTTGGGACTGTAGTCCGGCCCAAACGCCCCTCGAGATGACCGAAATCGGGCCGGTTCAGGCTTTTCAGCAGCAGCAGTGCGAGTTTCAGATTTATCATCTTCTCTATTGCTGAATGTTGTAGTATAATGAGAGCATTCAATGTCGGCAAGTGGCGACTTTTGCCGAATCGCCTGGCCAGAACCACAGCCACTATCCTTGTTGCTCTTTCCGAAGACGCCCTTTGAGAACCTGGACGGTTCATGGAACGAGCCTTGATGAGGAAGATCTTGTGGATTATACTGCGGACTCTCCCTTGTCATCTTCAACTTAGGGTGTTGTCCGCTGCTGTCGATACGGAGATCGCATTGTATAGTTCCCTCACCCGACGAATTGGAGGATTGTAAAGCTGCAGTGCGTTCATAGATGACACCCGGAATCTGCATCGGAGCTAATTTCTGGCCCTCCGTTCCAATCCTTTCCTTTCTGCTCTTCCTGCCACTCCTTTCTCGGTATTGCTTAGAGAAAGCTTCATCGCCTAGACTTTCAACACGGCTGTGGTTCCTGAGAGACATTCTGTTTTCAGAAGCGGAGTCTGCCTCCTCAACATACGGGGCATGATACTCCCCTTGAACAACCAAATGATGAGTTTTTCGTCGGTGCTCGCCGTTGATGTGCGGTGCCGGTTCTCTTTGTGCTCGACGCTGGGCCGAGCCTGATCTACGTCCAGGATAAAAGGGGGACGATTCAGCAGGGCTGACCGGAGCAGATGAACTTTTTGCAATCGATGCATGGCCAAGGCGGAGCTTCGCTGGGTTTCTTGACTTTGATGTTTTGACACCAAGTTCCTCTGATGGCAAATCTGAATTGCAATGTGGTGAGCCGTGTCTAAATAAGTCAGCAACAGTGGAGGAAGCAGTATCTGCAACACTGCCATCGTGCTCCGGAGGTCGAATCGACTGTGCTGTCTGCCACGTTGTGAGATTGGTTTTTCTCTAGTGTACATGGGCCAAGACTTACCAATTCGAGAACTGAAATCTCGTCCAAACCTTCGTTTACCCTTACTTCGGCAGTACATTTTCCGCAGTAGTTTGGTAGAAGGGGGAGCCCAGGTTTGGGTTTGTGTTTCTTCTGGAAAGCCTTAGATCGAACTTTTCCACAACCAAAGCAAAAGTGATGTTTATCCATTTGTCCTTTCTGAAGCGTTATCTCTCGACATGATGAGCAAAAATTCAAAACAGGTTTAGGCCATATGTCAATGGGGTGCTTTTCATGAAATTTTCGAGATCGGACACTGCCACAATCGGAACACAAATGGTGTCTTATTGTACAGGACGGGCTTTTCTCCCTCAGATGGGCAATCGACAAAGTGCGATCTCTGCCACCTTGTGGCACAGAAGGAAATTGAGCCTCTATTGCGACTTCATCATTGACTGGGGCTGGGGCCACATTCTCTTTATCCACAATAGGTTCTGTAGATTTCATTGCGTCGGCGGGTATTTCTGTTGTATTCAATGAGCTCTGCTGCACGCCTTTTGTTTTATGTGCCACTACCGAGTCTAAAAGATTATTGAGCTGGCTTTGGGTATTTTGATGGTCTCTGTGAAGATGTGAGTCTGTGGGTTCTTTCAGAAGCTCTCGTCGAAGACGATCCAACTTTAGTTGAAGCTCTTGAAGCTCTTGTAGCTCTTGGAAATTAGAACCTAGAGAATAAGACGACGCATCTTGATTCCTTTTCGGGGTTGGAGTTGCGAGGAGGTCTTTTTGCTGGTGGAAAAGATATGGTGGCACATAATGTGGCAGGAAAGTCGGAAGCTGTTGCTGCGAATATAGAAGCGGTGGCTGCGATGCCTTGTTGGGTGCAGCTCGTTGAGCATTTGAATTGATCCAGCTGGGGGAAGAGGATGATTTCTGGCTTCCTGGTAACCCATTTGCTGTTGATAAATATGTCGAAGGAGACGTTGAAGTGGAACTAGGTTCTTCGTCTTTGGGTGTCAACGTGGGCGAAGGCTGTTTGTAATCCCGAGTCGTGATTTTGAGTTTTCGAGAGCCCCTGATCTTCTTGGACAAGGTGCTCCGCTGAGATTTTAAAGACGAACTTCGGCTCTGGGTGTGCTGTCTCTTTCTCGACGCGGACTTGGGTATCGGCGAGACTAAATGATTTAGCCCTTTATTCCTAGATTTTATGGTGATCCCGTGTATGGACGATTGATCGGAGCTATCATAGGACCCAAATTCAACCTGGGCATTATCACCCGTGGCATCGGAGTCCGAGTCGTAGCGAGATGATGGTTTCGGTCTGACCGTTTCGGAGGCACGCTCGAGATCCCTTCGAGAAGGTATCCCAAATGCCGTTGATAACAGGTCAATTTCTGGTTCGGCCGAAGTCGACGAGTACCATCGCTTCCATCTTTGACCCATTATAACAGACCGAAGACAGGCTGTGTGCAGTAGTACCAGTCATATGGCGTTGATGGGTGTAGAGCAAGGGGAAGATGCTGCAAATTATCATGGCTGCAGAGAGAGCGCGTGGACAAAAGTGTGAAGTTGGTGTGCAGTTGAAAATAGAATGAAGACGCGAATGCAGCAGGCAGTGAACGAATTATGCCGGACGGTAAAATTTTCAGTTGCGCCCAAGTGGCAGCTGTCACGGACTGTTGCAGCTGCCTGCATTTACACACCCAGCCGAGTCACTGACCAGTCGACTCCATACATGCCCATTGGTTGCTGGTCATATATCTGCTGCGTCATGGCAAATACGGTGGTTTTGTCTTTTTCTAATTTCTGTTCAATTCATACAGTGATATACATTGCACGTACCATACATCTCTCCAGGACCTATATGGCCATTCTCTTTTTTATTGTATCCCCTATTCCCAAATCCTCTATATGGCCGTATTAAGCAATTAGTCTACCCGTAGAACCCGGGGGCCTCTTTTCTTGCTGGCCTTCTTCTTCTTGTGTCCCTTTTCAAATGCTGCAACAGCGGCGTGGTCTCGTCCAACGTTGTCAAGATCCTTGACCTTGTAGATTCGGATGATCCAATTTTCACTGGTAAAAGCCTCCTCCAGAGTGTTGAGGACTGGGCCTTGGTCAGGGAGACGCACGCCACGAACACGGTCAGCGGCTTGGCCAGGCGGGAACATAGAGTGGTAGTTATAGTATGACATTTTGTACCTGGTTTTCGCTTGTTAGCCAAGACGATCTCGTACGTCGCCAATTTTGTGTGAACTTACATCAAACTGTTCTTCATAGTCTCAGTAGCCTCTCCGTCGACACGGTACTCGCCACGGGCCGTGAAGAAATCACGCTCCTTGACCTCATCGGGCCAGATACCCTCAGCGATACGGACCATCCAGAGGAATTTGTTGATATCGTCACCAGAGTAGCCCAGGAGGGCACCAAAGACGACAAGAACATAGTCAACTTCGTGCTGTCGCATGATAGGATAGCTAACTTCTTCCCTTGAGCTCATGGCTTTGCCAACAGTCGCGATATGGGTATTGTTCCACGTGTTGTTGTCAACAAGCGTGGGACGGTCGGCCATACCACCAATTTGGTAGCCGTAATCCCACCAAGACATGATTTTGGCATCCTTCTTGGTGTTCTGTCGCAGCCACTGGTACGCCTCTCGGTAATCATCAATAATGTGCTGGCTTCCATCCGGCAGTCGGCTTGCCAAGACAACCGAAGGAGAGGAGTAGGCGTTGGATGTGACCCAAGTGCAGTGCGTAACAAACATGAGAAGGTACACAATGACAGAGGCCACGACGACAAACTTGGATGATGGGTGGAAAATGCCGACGTTTGGCTTCTCGCTGCCTCTGAGACCAGCCATGGGCTTCGCTGGCTTCTTGGAGGCTGCTTCGGTAGCACTCTCCACTTCCTTGGGGTCAGGGGACTTGGCGGAAATATAGGTATCGAGCAGGCTCGACAAGGCAATGGCCGCGGCAACGCAGACAATAGGGGTCAGAGTGAGCATCAGCCGAACCATGACGCCCGCGAAGTAGCTGCCGAACAAAGCGTAGACGATAACGAAGACATGCTCATCGCGGAGATCTTGAAAGCACATGTAGACACCGGCGGGGAAGAGCCATATGAGGAAATTGAGATCAAAGAAGAAAGCGGGCCAGGCAGTAGGCTGATGCTCGGATACAGAGGCAATGATAGGAATATGAATCTTGGCATAGCCGGTATCCCAGAGGGAGTAGAAGCGACCATTCCATGGCGCGATATAACCGAGGGAGGTTAGACCAACCAGAGCAATCAAGCCAACACCAAAGGTGGCGACAAGGATGGTAACAAGGAAGGTCTGGAACTGGCGGCTAGGAATGGCAGATCGTACATATTCAATGAAGGCAATCAACTGGAGGAAGCCGAAGATGCCTGGCCAAAAATTAGCATGCTGTAAGTTGGGACTGACTCCAACACATTTACGTTCATACCTAGCGCGGGCATGTGCTCGCTGGTTTTCACCGGGAGGAAACCAACAAAGGGAATTTGCATGCTGGCAATGGTTCCCAGAGCATACCATGTGGTATAGCTGACGTAAAGGCGAGTGCTGTAGCGTCCCATGCAGATAAGAACAAAGGCATGGAGGGGCAAAAGACAGGTGATGAAGGCGTAACCACCCCACGATGCCACCATGTAGCCGTAAAACAGAGCGCACAGAGCGCCCCAGAGCATAGAGCCCAGCTTCAAGGCCTTGATCCACAGGTAGAAGGTGAAGACGAGAAGGAAAATGGCGATGGCCTCGTTGTCGTAACTTCCGGCGACCGATCGTGAGATGTAGCCGGGCGCTATGCCCATGAATACAGCAGAAAGAAGTCCAGCAGATGGAGACGTGGTCATCTCATTGGTTAGAAGGTATGATGCGTAGGCCGTAAGCCCGGAGAAAGCGGGAGCAAGCAGAACACAGATGTTACGAATATCCACGGGAATAGTCAGGGCCTTGAGGGCGTGGTAGATGGCGCCGCTGGTAACCATGAGACCTGGGTACAGAGTACCTCCCGTGACGCGGCCAAGAGGATGCCAGGTTCGGTCATCGAACCAGTCCCAGAACTTGTAGAATCCGTTCGCAACAAGATACTTGGTCGCTCGGAAGTTGAACCAGGGGTCGACTAGTTTTAGTCAGTTCTATACTACGGCAATGTTTTTGATTGGAGATGAACGAGGGCACCGACATTCGTGAATAATACTTTCAAATCCTTTTTGAAACAGGTCAGTATCTGTGTGACACGCATTGGAGTAGTTGGCTCTCTGGCAGCGACTCCAGAGCGGTTGCTGCTCGAGATGGACGGGACTTACGAATCACCGAGAACAGTCGACTTGAGATGGCAGCGCCGGCGATGAAAAGAAGAATGACAACTCTCAAGAGAGTCCGTGTGCTTTTTGTGTTGACGCCATCAAGGCGTGGTTGGGCTTCGGTCGTCATGTTGGCGACGACTACTGGCAATGGTTGCCCTGAAGGTTGATGGAGAGGGAGGTTCTCCGGTCTTGATGCGACGACGACGACCAGACTTGACACCACACACTTTGGACTGAGGACAGCTTGGAGCTTCTGGCAGCATTGAGCGTGGCCGAGTGAAATGTGGGGCTGTCGTCACCATCGAAGCCGCCTCTCATTGGTCCCATTTTTTACCTGACACGACTGTTTGTGAGGCTGTGACGAGCAATCAATGGACTACTACCACCATTTCACGCACTCAATTCAAGGCTTGATCAATGTTTGAATCTGCAAGTGATTACCGAGGTCTTATGGCTACGATATACGATGGCTGGTTCAAGAGATTTGCGCACGAGATGTGCAATGCATGAGGGCTAGACAAGATGGCATTTTCCCTTGAGTTTGTGTGAATAGCTGCACTTCGAACTATGTCCACTGTTATGAGACACGTGAACCTTGGTAGTCATTACTGGCCTTCAAGTATTTGGCGGCGGTCTTTGTGTGGAAACATTTCAATGTTGCCGTCTAGATTGTGTGTATTTTTACACCTGTACACATGAGTAAACAGGAACGTAAGGAAACCTCTATGCAGTAGCGCCTCGCGTAGTCTCCATCATACAGCGATTCTGCCATAATTTGGACCCTATAGAGGCATTGGCAGACTCTCAGTCCTTTACAAGTAGCAGATCCATCCTCCCCCCTCAATTCGTTTTGTTATCAGCTATCCATCTCCACTGTCGGCCCCGTCTCCGGATTAATCGCTTAAGGGCTCTCCTGGGACACCTTCAACAGCAGCTTCTCGAGATCGAACTTGGGGTCGTTGACATCGGTGACAACTGCGCACGGAGGTTAGTCTTCTGCTCGGCATAGACGCGGTGTTTTTCGACACGGAGGATGAGCCCCAGGGGGGGTGGCCGCATATCTTGAGAAGCCAACATACCATCATTCTTGGAAGCAGCTGCGGGAGCAGGATTGTTCTTCTTCGCGTATTCGGCCTTGGCCTGATCTATCAACTTCTGCTTGCTCTCCCATTCGTGCTTAGCATGCTCGGCCCGTTGTGTAGTAGTAATCGTTCTCTGATGAGAAAATCCGTAGAAGACGCCCACGGCGAGCGCGGACCACCGGAGAACCTATTGACAACCCAGTCAGCGTTCGACCATGTGAATCATTTAAAATTTGGCGTCCCAATTGCATGTCGCCGGTGTTGCAGGCGATGGCTGGGCGGCTATGAGCGACCTGAAGCGGCCGCACAATAGGGAGACGACTGAGGGCGGGAAACCAACGTTGACGCCAGTCGAGGCCATTGGAAATTACGGTCGCAAGGTGCGCGACAGATGCGAGAAGCGATCCGGAGGTGAGGACGTAATTCGAGGGCTGACAATGGGTGTCAATGGGGCCCTGTCGTGGAGGTTCGAGGGAATTGTTGCGTCGGCTGCAAGGTGAAGAAGATTTGAAAGTTGCTCGGGAAAAGTCGCAGTTTTGCCAGGACAGGCGGCAACGGCCCGCCACATAACAGGGGAGCTCATCGCCCATGGCGCATGGCTCGTTGCTCATTGCTCCTGGGTGGGCGGCAGGGCGGTAGGCCGTCGGAGGGTGTGGCTCTCCATGTCCGGTTCTTTGGGGCCGAAGAGGCTGGGTCAATCAATCACGTGAAGCATTGGTGCTTTTGTGCCTTTTGTGCATGTGTGCACTGCATTTGGCGTGTCTCGCAGCCCCCAGATCCTCCGTACAGGCGCTGTGGGCTGTGGTCTGCCCACAAGACGCGCCTTGGCGCTAGTGTCGGCACCTAGCATAAAGTTGACCTCACTGGCCGACAGGGGTCTCGCTGCCAGTCGTCCAAGGCTCCGAGATATGGAAATGTTGTCAGGTCTGGTCAACGTTTAATGCGACATCGTCCTGGGGCGCGCGAATCGCTAGAGACTGACACAGCAGTTCGCCTGACGTTTATAACTCAGAGATCAGCTGTCCCTACTTTATTATTTGCTTCTCCTCCGGGCTGGTTTCAAGTGACTTCTCTTTGTCCCCCCTTTGACTTGCTTCGCTGCCCGACTCCCTGAGGGCTCCCCTGATTTGCTTGTCCCGTAATGGGACAGTCAAGAAGCCATCAAGATGCAGCAACGTCGAGATGAAATCCTTGCGAAAAAGGCCAAGCTTGCGGAACTCAAGCGACAGAGAGAACTTCGAGCTAGCCAGGCCAGTGCTGGCCGCCCAAGCCTAGGTGGCGGTGATGTTGGTCTATTCCCGTCTTCTGCGAACTCTTTTGCGCCTCGCTGCTAACAAACCATCTCCAGTTAATATCGCCGACTCCTAGTAGAGCAGACAACCGCCGCGAAATCGAATCTCTCATCAACAGTCTAGTTGGCGAGAGCCGACCTGGCTCAACAACGACGGGAGGCGCCGCATCCCCTGGTGGCCCTCGTGCCAGCAGACCGAACAGCGTCCTAAGTGCAGGAGAACTTAGCAACGAGACATCCGAGTCCGCAGCAGTCTCGGTTGCCGCTCCTCCGCCACCACAACTCAGCACAGCACCTCTGACGACGGTATATGAGTGTCCACCATCTCCGGTCAAGGAGGTCTTTTCCTACAGCAAAGGCGTTCAGACTTCAGACGAATGGCCCCCGCCAGCGAGACACCGATCGCAGTCAACCGTGTCAGTTAGCGATGACTTGACGGGGACCACAAACTCGCCAAATAAGAGGCAAAGTAGGAGAGAAAGAGATAGGGAGGAGGAGTTACGCCAGAAGATTCGTGAGGAAGTAGAGGACGAGCTGCGAGCAGCCAAAGAGTCTCTTGCTGACGGCACTGCCACGGCACTACCAGCGTCATCCGCCAACTATCCATCCAGAGAGTTGACTGTAGAGGAGTTGGAGGCTGTTACACGGTCTGAGGCATTTGTTGACTTTCTTGACCAATCTACCAAGGTCATCGAACGAGCCCTTGACCAGGAAACCTACGATATTTTGACAGATTATGCCTTGCAGGGCAAGGATCAGGATGAAGATGATGAAGAAAGCGGTAACACTGGCGGCCGTGGCTCGCATAGGATAAAGGAAGTCGCTCAGTTCTTCGACGATCGATGGTCAAAAAAGCGAATGATTAGCGGCATTGATTTCTCCCCAAAGTTTAGTGAGTTATTGCTCGCATCGTATACCAAGAACCCCACGGCGCCTCACGAACCCGACGGCCTTGTTCAAGTTTGGAACACGCATATGCACGACCGCCCCGAATATGTTTTCACCGCCCAATCCGATATTCTCACTGCGAAATTCTCTCCCTATCATCCAAACTTAATCATTGGCGGATCCTACAGCGGACAAGTTCTTCTCTGGGACACGAGAGCGAAAGCTGCTCCTGTGCAAAAGACTCCACTGACGGGGTACGGCCACGCGCACCCTATTTACTCTGTCAACATTGTCGGAACGCAGAATGCGAACAACATCATCTCCTGTTCAACGGACGGCGTTGTCTGTGGGTGGAGTATGGACGTCTTCGCGCAGCCGCAAGAGCTTCTGGAACTGAAGAATCCCAGCCAGGCCAAAGTGGCTGTGGAGGATGTCAGCCCAACATGTGTGTCTTTCCCTCAAACAGACCCTACGTTCTTTCTTGTTGGAAGTGAAGAAGGTACAATCTTTCCATGCCATAGATACGACCGGGCTGGCGCCAAGGCTGGAGTAGATAAGAAGATCAGCTACAAGGGTCACACAGCTCCCGTCATGTCTGTTGATTTCCATCCGTCCCGCGGCCCCATCGACTTGGGGGACTTGATTATTTCATCCTCGCTTGACTGGAGCGTGAAGCTCTGGAAGGTTCGTGCGCCAGCCGCCACCTCTACAATTGGGGCAGGGGATGGCAGTGTTACACCACTAATTGACTTCGTCCGGGAAGATGTTGTGTATGATGCCAAGTGGTCGCCAGTGAAGCCAAGCGTCTTTGCTCTGGTCGATGGCGCTGGATGGTTAGAACTCTGGGATATTGCGGTGGAAACTGAAGAGCCCATCTCACGAATCTCCCCTAGTCAGCGCCAAGACGGGAGAACGATGCTCTCCAAGAGCTTGAACAAGCTGGCATGGGAGCCAAACGATGGCAAGCGGTTGGCTACTGGCGGCATAGATGGTTCATTGACAGTGTTTGAAGTAGGTAGTGGCTTGGGTGGCAAGGAGGGATTGAAGAATGAGGAATGGACCAATGTCAAAAAGTTGGTGAATCGAGTCGAAGCAGTTGGCTTGAATGGGGCTATGATGGTGTAGGCAGGCAGGCATGTATGGTGGGCATGGCTCGGTTGGAAGTACTTTGCCTGTTGGAAGTGTTGACAACAAAGGCTTATTCTGTATACCCCAATAACGCGAGAGTCGTAATAGACGCCTTGTAAGATCAGAGGTTCCATGTTTCTTGGTGTATCTCCAAGCCTTGAGTCAGCATTGACGATGAAAGTTGACATGCAGAACCCCATTGGATACCTGATAGAACTGTAAAGCCTCGCGGAGGTTTCTGTGATACTCTCACCAGCTCGTAATTGTGTCATAACCTTGGTTCATGCTTAAATTGTTTTTCCGTCATGATGCCGGACCTGGTCACGTGGGGGCGTGGTGGGAATGCAAATATTTCAGCGACCTCCACTTCAGTTTCAGCCATTTCTTCAAGTTTCAGTGCCATGGACTCGCCGAGAAGAACGGGACGTTGATTGATTTTAGGGCTCACAGGATTCTGGGCTTGGGAGCCGTCGCGAAATTATCATTGTCGCTGTATTCACTGTCGCGCTGCTGCTGGGACCACCTGGGTAAGTTCCAACTCGAAGCAAACGCTTTTCCTAGTCGAACATGATGCATTCAATTTTATTGAATTCTGCAATTCTGAAGGCCATCTGTGGCCAGTCTGTGGACGAAATTTCCTGATTCATAGTCGCTTCCCACTAAAATACACGCCATCGTCTATCGTGGACATAGAAACAAATGCTAACCACAAGGATAGGATCCCCCCCCTCTTCAGGTGTTGGTAGGGACAGAATTCGGATATCTCTTGCCCGCCGTCTCAAAGTTCTTAACCATGTCACTGATCCTAGTGAATTCTTCATCGGTAATGTCCACCAGCTTCGCATTCTCCCTGACTCTTGAGGCTGCGGTAGCTCCAGGGATAGGAATAATGGTAGGAAGTCCAGGGCGGTTGCTGTGTTTGCGCACCCACGCGATGGCCAACTGACCGGGCGTGCATCCCTTTACCTTTGCAATCTCCTCGACCTGGCCAACAAGCTTGAGATTGTGTTCAAACGCGCCAGACTGGAATCGTGGAAAACTGGATATGATTCCGCGATCCTGCATATCCTCAACACTCTTGAATCTACCAGTGAGCATCTTGATGGCTTGTTAGCTACTTGGATTCGACAGTGGCGCGTTTTATGTTGGCAAGAACGTACTCCTCTGCCCATTGGCGAGTAGGCCAAGATGGGGATGCCATGCTGAGCACAGGCTTCAGCAACACCGTTGGTAAGAATGTCAGGGGAGAACATGCTCAGTTCAACCTCAGCAGCGCCAATCTTGGCGAACTTGGCTGCTTCGTGAACAGTCTCGGCGCTACACTCCGATAAGTAGACGGCACCCAATTTTCCAGTCTCGATGTACTCCTTCTGGATGACGCCATAGGTAACTTCTAGCGGCGTGCTGGGGTCGCGTCTTGAAGGAGCAAACCCATCGAGCTTCTTGGTTCCGCCGAGCTGCTTGATGATGTTATCCAGACTGCGGCGAGTGCCCTCGGGGGTGCCATCCTGTTTGTGCGTAGTGAGATCCATGCCGCCCTTGATAACCAGCGTCACTTTATCGGCGTCCTCGGGATATTTGGTGAAGTACGCCTTGGCCAAGGTCATGGAGTTGCAATCAGGAGTGCCATAGAACTCAGCACCGTTCCACAGAGTGAGGCCGCTCTCCAAAGCTGCTTTGAGTGCCTCGATGGCCTGGTCGATGGGCGTAGGTTCAGGGCGCCAGGTGAAGCCTATCCTTGTCAGCAAACAATTGGTCGATGGGAAACGTGCTCAACTGGTGACATACCCATGAGGCCGTACCCAATGGGCCCGACTTCTTTACCAATGACCTGAGGCATGTTGACGGTTTTCTCGAGTAGTGGCCTTGGCTGAAGGAATTTTGTGCTTGTAAGACTGAATGTATCGTACCAATGCCGATGATGAGGGGCAGATCCCCCTCAAGCAGCCCCTGAACACGCCTCGTCTTTATACTTTCCATCCACGAAAGCTTCCTCCTTACGGAGTACACATGGGATTTCTCGCCCCCTCCGTGTCGGGCCAGTGGGGTGTACGCGACGGTTCACGCCGTGCGCCGTCTGCGTCAACCTGGCGAGTTGTCCGATACCAATCCCCGCCATCCGCAGCCAGGCGCACTGGGTCGGAATTAGGGCCATGTACAATCGCTTATTCCGATGACTGTTTCACTAAGCCATGTCTATCTCCGATGGCAGAGGATAAATATTGTGCTACTTTGGTATAATCCGGATTTCTAATCGACCCTGCCAGTGAGAATAATCAGTATGTTTGCCCGGTGACTATCCCGCAGTTGTGCTCTGGTGGCCGAGTTGGGTTGGTGAAGCTTTGACTTGTCTGCGATGACGTCACTCTATGATGACTGATTTTTAGATCGTATCCAGCTTCGTGTCGAGCTGATTCTCTAGAATGCGAAACGGGTATCATGAATTTGGCCCTGTTGAGCTTGAAGAGCGAAAATCAACGGAGTTTGACATATGTTCTCCGGATGGTGCTGAAGGTCGGGCCGTATCATCATGTTACATGAAGTCGAGCGGTGGCAATTACAACGACGCGCCATGTCGACCAAGCTCTACAACGATATAGTCCCATGGAATATGCGCCTCTCCCGCAGGCGAATGGAGGCAATGTATGCTCATGGGGTTAGATATGCTACTTAGTCACTTGTGCTTCGTTCTTTTCTTCTTCTCGGAATAGGGGCTCTGGCCAAATACTTGCCCATTATCCACGTAATCTACGCGATCAGTCTATCATATCAAGACTTCTCAATCCGAATAGACACATCCAGCCCATCAACACAGTACCCCAACTGCTTAGGCCCATCCTTCAGTTCGACCTCCCTCTCTATCCATCGCCCGGACTTGCCATTCATCCCACCAATCTCTTGAGCCTTCTCGGCGGTCTCATCACCACGCAGCTCCTCATCATCACTACTGTCCCCATCGCGATCATCATATCCCGCCATAGGATCCCACTCCCCCGTCTCCCAAACCAGCTTCACTCTCAACGGTGGCAAATCAAACAACTTCCCCGCAATGCCCTTGACAGCATAAACATCAAATGACCTGGGTATCCTGCACGTCTTTGTCTGCCCCCCCTCAAAATGAAACGTCACTGAGATGAGGCGCGCTTCTAGAAACGAAGGATTGACCTCATCCCTCCGAATGACATCCGGTTCTCCGTAGATATCACAAAGCTCCTTGTACCGCGGGTGTTGAACCAAGATGGTATGTTCTGCTGACTCGGGGACTGTAGCCAGCTGCTTCGCTATCCGCGACAAGTAAAACATTTCTGCGTTTGTCCGGTCCGCGGCCTTGACTTGTGCGAAGTTGAGACTCTGTAAATTGGCCAGCCGTCCGATAGTGAACATGTGCGATTCTTCGGACGACGATGCCTTTTTGTCGTCGTCTTTGGCTGCGTCGTAGACGGGGTTGTGGGATAGGCGGAGCGCGTTGAGACCCGGGAAGTGGGTGGGCAGAAGGTCGACAAAAGACCAGGCAGATATGCTGTTGTATGATATGTCGAGATACTGTAGCGATGGGGGGAACACGGGACCGGTGGCGCCGTGGGATGAGATGGCAGTGATGTTGTTGCCTTTGAGGTGGAGGTTTCGCAGGGACGTGAGAGACGTGAGGCTCGCAAGGTCAGATAGGGCTGTGAACTCGTTGAACTCGAGGTTGATGGAGGTTAAAGCGGGTGGTAGAGGGAGGTGGCCCATCTTTGGAAGGCAAGTGAGTTGATTCGAACCAGCATTCAACTCCTTCAAGCTGGGACATCGGGCGGCGATGGCGCAGAACTCCTCCCACGTGAGCAACGTCTCTTCGAGTGATAATTCCGTAACGCCCTGAAATGCAGAATTGATTCTGTCCAGGGCCGCATCTTGCAGGAGATTCTGAAACCGATTGCCACTTCGAGTGGCGTTAGCCGCTGCCGCGAATATCCATCTGAAGCATAAAGCATGAAGCCAATACTCACTTGATACTAAGCTTTCGCAGCGTCTTCAGCTCTGCACAAATATCTACCACTGGCCCAATCGTCTCGAACAAATTCCGGCTCAGATCGACATGCACGATACTCGGACACGACTCTGCTATAGGACCATCTCCATCTTGTCGAGAAACAGCCATTCGCATGCCGTCTAAAATCACAATCTTCAGGTCCTCGACTTGTGCAAGCTTCTTCCAAATCTTGTCAAAGCCCACTTCCTCGGCAACCTTTCTGCCCGAAATGACAATTTGAGCACCCGGCTGGCCATGCTTATCCTGCTCCGGGTCAGAGAGATACTTCTCCTTGAGGGCGGATAGGAAGCCCTGGACGTCGTCCTTGGGCCGCGTGGGGCGGACAAAGGACGCAGCCGTGGACGACCTGGAAAGGCCTAAATTGACGTTGTTAGGAAAAAGACACCCTTTACAGACTATGAGCAGCATACATGTGAAGTAGCGCACGCCCTTGTGCGAGCCATCGTGCTTCCCGCGGGTCGAGTCGTCCCATTCTACGCCCAGCCACGAGCCAGTGGTTCCCGCAACTTCACCGACATAGCGGACCGTGCAGAGTGCGCCGCCGTAGGAAACTCGCTGGCCTACGTGTGGTTCTTGGTTCATTATTGACGAGCTCTAGTAAGGGACAGCATTTGACCGGCTGCAAAGTTGGGCGTGTCGCGGGGTGTCTTGCGGCATTGGATGTTGTGATGGTCTGGCGAGTACGACTGGGGACTACGAGCCAAGGCAGCAGCAGAATTTAGGAAGCCCCAGTTCCGCAGCCATTGGCAGAACCAGTATATCAACGACGGCCGCTTAACAACGCATGCTTATGCTCTAGGGCACAAAAATCCATTGAATTGCGACGGGGGATTTTCTGATGGGTTGTGAATTTTTACTCATTCGTGACATAATTTCATTGTGCGTTCAAATGGCCAGCTACCTGGTAACTATTATGGCTAAGGACCTCGGTCTCACAGCTTGCTAGCAGCGCCTCCAACAACCTTGACCAAGGCACGGCCATTGCTCAAACACACCTTGCCGCCTGCAACCTCAGTAACAAACCGAATTTCCTCAAAGTCACCCTGCTTCTCGCCGGTGCGCCAGACACTGGTGACCAGCTTGTCGCCGGGCTTGACAGGACTAGCAAATCGAGCCTGGTATTCCTTGACGTTGGCAGGGTCGCTGCCGCCAAAGGTCTTGAGGATCAAATAGCAGGTAGTGTTCCATGAGTACAGGCCGTGCATAATGGCGCCCCCGAAGCCCATCTTCTGGCCAGGCTCCGGAGTGGCGTGGAGGGGATTGTAGTCGCCGTTGAGGCGGTACAGCAGAGCTGACTCGGTCGTGGTCTGGTGCTCCAGAACGGCATCGGGCTTCTTGTCCTTGGGAGGAGGGAAGTTCTTGGTCGCAGGACCCTTGGGGCCGTGCCAGCCACCCTGGCCAACGAAGAACGAACTCGTTGTCACGCGGGTGTAAACCTCGCCGGTAGCAGTGTCGACGAGGTCAGTCTGGACGTCGAGGACGGTGCCTGGCCGGCCCTTGTCGTAGACGCCGAGGACCTTGGTTCTGGATTCGAACTTCCTGCCCTCGGAGGAGGTGGGCAGGGCCTTGAGGAACTCCATCTTTCGCTGGCCATCGACGACGCGCCTGTAGTCGAATTCGGGCACACTGGGGATCTTGACGGCCTTTGAGGAGGCATAGAAGTCGATGACTTCCTGGGTGTTGCCCTTGAATGCTGCGCGGCAGGGATTAGTGCAAACTTCGCGAGCGACGTTTTGCAGCATTGCAGCGCCGTGGGCTCACTCACTCAGGATGATGGGGTATGTAGGGAAGACGGCAAATTTGGGGTGTAGCTCCTGGAAATTCAAGTTAGCCGTGGTTATCCTCGCTGGAACGGCCTGGGTCCTCTCGTACGTAGAGGAAGTGAAGCTCGTCGGCCGTCGCGCCGATGCTGTTTGCAAACAGCAAAACATCTCGCTTCAGCCAAGTGACCTCCTGAGGAGGGTATTCGAAACCAACACCAGGGCCAGACATTATGGGAAACTGAGCTTGGAATTCTCGGTCAATAAGTGCAGTTCAACAACAGAGGGTTTCACAGAAACCACGAAGCAGCTGGCACAGAAAGCGGGTGAGCGCATCCAGAGATATACACTCCGCGGCGGCATTCTCGGGGGAGCTTGCCTTGAGCCGAGGCACCTGCAGGCTTTGGTGGTGGGGGGATCGGCTCTATTGAGGTGTTCGGATCGGATTGATGCGTCAACCGTCCAAGATGCTCCTTACTTAAGTAGCTAGGCCGGTAGTATACCCCGGATTTCCCTTTGGGGTTTTCAGAGACTAGTAGAACGTTTGAGAAAAGCCTTGGCCCAGTTTGCATAGTCGTCTGTATCCTTTCGCACCATTGACTTCTCAATATAGTGACTGCTGGGGCTTGGTTCGGCATAGGTATCGGTACATATTGCAGCTATGTCCGAGCATTGAAGAGACACCAGTAAACGCCTTGTACTTTTTTTTTTTTTTTTTTTTTTTTTTTGCAATAGTATAATTTTCTTTTGAAGTGCTGGTGCTCTCCAGATGTATCCTGGGCGATGATTCGGATGATACATAGCGGTATCTTTGGTTTCGAGCAGACCAGACCGTCTGTCTTCTACACGCGTGATATGACCAGTCAGCCCGTCAATCCATTCCTGTAGCGGGGCACGTCTGCGCCATTGCTGTGGACATAACAGGGCTCCAGACGGATCAACATTGATTGAACCCCTACACAAACAGCCACTTCTTAATCCCCTGTATCCGCAACAAGCTTCGCAAGCAACCAGACCAGGCATCAGTACACGCCATTTGTAACACACTTGCCGCCAGCCCGTTCTTGTAACCATGCCGCCATCCGACAATCACTGCGAACTCATGTGCGCCGAATTGATCTCATTCGGGATGCTTCTGCAGCATCTTGCTACCACAACCAGCCTGCTCGGCCCCAAAACTCTGCCGTCAGATGGGACGGGCGAGGTAACAAAGGACCGGCATCAGAAACCTTCTGCAAGACATGGAGGCCGTTCACACCCATGATCCGAACAAACAATTCATTGCAACAATCACATGCATGCGTTGGACAGCTTTTCCAGGTACGCGACTCGATAAAAACTATAGAAAATTGTGTGCCTGACGAGGCTAGCTTTGTGCGCCACGGCACAACATATTGGTGCTAAAGAGCGTAGAATCCGCTTTGACTCAAATCATGTAGTTATTGGAGTGCACATTTGGCATTGAAATCCGTCCAAGGGCTCTTGCCAGTCTCAACCCAGTCTTCCTTTACCTCGGTCACATTCCGCCAAGAATCGGTATATTTCGTCATAGCGTTGAAATTCATTCGATACACGCTCTTGAGGCTGCACTGGTGGTGACATGCTCTCGTAGCCTTCAGGCTCAGAAACCCATGGGCTCTCGGCCATTTCGCAGGCAAATGCTTCTCTCACGAAAGAGTCGTCCTCCAGGAATGATTCCACGTCATCAAGCTCGTAACCAGTAAGTGACCGGGCTGATCCGCCGGGTGAGCTTATCGCTCGTTCGGATTCTGGCGCGAATGGGAATTTGAGAGCTACCCGAGCCCCCGCAGCGGAATCAAAGTCAGGGTCCTGGCCTATAATGCCTCGTTCAATCCCCATGTCGTCGCAGAGCCGCTCAACAGACACGGCGTCTGTACCTGGGAAGCGAACGCGAAGCTTGCCGCCTGGTTCCAACGAAACAGGTAGCCCCCCCAAAGCTTTGAGCCGTTGGAGGTCGGACATGACTGCCTTCAAATGCTTTCGTGCTCGACGCAAATCTGCAGACAGGACTTCGAGGAATCCTTCCGTATCGAGAACCGTGGGCTCAGCAACTGCGTCAGTCTGGAAGATCGAATCACTAGAGGCACGGACAACAGCGGCAGCAAGGGGGCTAAGGGCTGTGATGACGGGGCTCATTTGAAAGTCGATGAAAGAGCCGGGAATGAAGCTGGGAATGGCAGCCATTCTGTTCATAGCTTCGTCTTCGAGCTTCGATACGGCACGGTATCGGCGCTCCCCATAAGGTCCGACGCCATCATATCGGAGCTTCTTGCCGGAAAGGAGGAACCCTCTCATTGCCTGAGAAACATTCTGGACGACTTGAGCTGGAGCCGCAGGAGCGTGAGAAAAGTATCTTGCTCCGCCACCAATGCTGTATCCTCCGGCAGTTCGCGGCATGGCACCACCAGTGAGGTTAGGTCGTAGCGTGTTTGCAAATGGAGCCCGTCCAGAGAACGAGGCAATTCGCCGGGATGTGTTTGAGGAAGGAAGCTTAGACCTGTCGAATCGAGAGGCTCCTGTACGCTCCGAGCTAATATATCGCCGGACGAGATGATTTATATTCTGCGTAGTAGTGCCGGAGAACCACCTTGAACCACGTCTCTGCTGTTTCAATAGTGCCGCTGGGTGAACAGGCTGGCGACCGGTAGATCCGCTTCGCACTGGGATGGCTTGTATTTGGCCTTGGAGAGGCCTCGTAGCGTCCGCGATTTTGATGCGAACCGCTTTTGTTGTTTTGGCCACAGCGAACCTAAGGAATCGCAGGGTCGTGAAACCCCACATTGCCCCTTGGGACGCCATGTTGGTGTTTGTTGTCGCTTCTCTTACGATGAAAACAGAGGAGGGTTGGTTTGTTGTAGCGGCCTGTATGCCTGGCTTTCGGCCGTGGGTGACATCGACTTATTATAAGCCCGTACCGATATTCACTTGGTTTGCCACGCAAGCCGCAGCCGGGAGGGAGCGGATGCACCGCCACGCTATTGGCCACACTTGGGCTGGCGAGAGGTCAATTAAGCTAGCCGGGTTCGGTTAGCGCGATTCACGGTGCCCCATTTCAACTTCCCTCTGTATAAAAAAAATCCTGCGTTGCTGTTCTGCTTTAGTTTTCTCCTTTGCCAAACATTCATCGCACCCAGCGCCTCAAGTTGGGAGAGCAAGTGCTCACCTTTCTTGGGCTACCGTGAGACGGCGCTCGTAATCACTGGTAAGCCTCTCCTCCCTTTTTCTTCGACCCACGATTATCTGTGATGAATTCTTTACACGAACAATCCAATTCATACCATACCATGGTGACTTAGCAAACTCAAGAATTACACTGAGAAGCTTTGGATCATATCTTTTTCAATCTCAATCTTGACCGCTTAGGCCTCTGCTGACACATCTCAAGGTATAGATGCCGCCTACGTCGAATCACACCCGACGCCGACGAATGTATTGCTCAAAAGGTTCGTGAAGTTTGACAGTTTGCCTTCGCTCGCACCCCAAATTCTCTCCAAGTGATGATCAAAACGACACCTTAGGGATTCCTCATGCTTAATACATAATGTGGATACCGTTGTATAAGTTTCAGCCTTGTCTGATTGGACAATATCATTGCACGCTTTTTGTTGTCTCGGTGGTACAAAATGCAGTGGCTAACATTGGTTTCGATAGGTACTTGAATACTCTCCGATCCCATGACAACTGCCAGCATATGATGAAGATTTGAACGAACGGGCGGACATATTGAGCCCTGCCACCTCTCATCCTTGAAAGCAAGGTCGTACAACCCTTGTGGTGGGAGACTGGCAGGACCTCTGGATGACACTTCGTCACCTGACTGTGGCTTGGCTTGCAACATGCTCGTGTGTTTCTAGGAAACTGGTGCATTTAACTGACATGTATCTGAAATTAGGTAATTTGAATTGATTTCCGCTGTTTGCTAAGACTACTGTGATGAGTTGATCAAGTATTCACACTGTTTGATCCACGTTCGTTTTTGATCGTTGGAGCATGAACACAATTGCAACATCTGATTTAGTCGGTATGTACCAGCCAGCTGTTCCGCGCAGCCCATGTAGCTAACGGGGCACAGATTTTTTGATGCACTTTGATATACTCTTCAACATCACTGCACAAGACTGACTGTGCCCCAGGTAAAGAACTGGTACATTGTAACGTCCAGATATCCGATAGTAATGGTGAGCACATTTCATACATCATGCTTCAATACCAAGCCATCAGGATGATTTCTATTTTATCTCTAGCTGAGTTCATCGTGATGAGCAACCTTTTTCACCTTGGAGAACTGATCTTGGCTTCCGTTACCTCTATGTCTCATACCGCCGGCATTGCAAACATATTTACTAACCACAATACCCGTACAGACAAAAGTGAATTCTTGGCCGCTTCGTAAGATATTCAATATAAATTTCTACTGCACTATCATATCTAGTCTCTACATCCGTGAAATACATATATAATTACCGCACATCGACTCTTTTGGAGGTTTTGAGATTGCGCTTTCTACTTTCGAAGCTGAAGGCGAGCGTTCATGCCCACAATGCAGCGGATAAGGTCCCAGTTATCGTTTGCACCAACCCAGTCAGTAATCACGATGCCAGTTCCGGCAGAGCCAACTCTGAGCTGCTTCGGGCCCTTGCCTTCCTGGCCATGCTTCCCGCACAGATACTCAATCACAGCTGGATTTACCTTGGCAGCAATTCTTTCAGGCCAGCATGTTGCGTTGAAGAAGTTGCTGGCACTGAGGAAGTTGACGAAGAATGGTGGAGGTCGGGCTTCCGCGTTGTAATCTGTCATCCCGGCGAGCGCGAAAGCCTGTTCTGCAGCTCGTTCGAGTTGACCGCGACTGTACTCAATCTTCTTTTCAATGTTTTGGCTCTCGGTGACTTCATAGAAATCTTGGATGCGGAAGCCACCTCCTCCTCCAACGCCATCCTCGCAGTTATCAGGCCACTCTTGGGCGTCCACACCATAGCCTCCGTCTCTCATTTCATCATCCAGAGCAAACCGGCGTACAAGGACAATCTTGCCACGAGCCTCGCCGAGGTTAGGAGCCCTGGGATCGGTCCACCAGCGGTCAGCCCGCTTGTCAACATATCCATTCTTGAGGTACTTGGACATCTGAGCATCGCTACCTTTGCCGGTACCTTCGCGCTTAACACTCATGATGATGACCTCGCTAGGATTCTCTTCTAGGAACTTGTAGATATCCTCAAGCATGTCAGCGAAGTATTTATTCCCGGTCAGGGAGATTGGAAATGCGCTGTGAACCAGAGTGAGCACGTCGTCATCCGAATTAGCCGACACCCGAATGTCCAGAAACCGGACACCATTCTGGAGCTGTTCTGGAATGCCAACAGCCTGGCAGCGAACCGAGGGAAGTGCCGTATAGCAAGTCGGCGAATTGTGAGTGCCGGGAATGGAGAGGACGGTAAGAGGCCACTCATCCTGAAGTTCATGCATCCAGGCATTGAGTTTGGCGGACGAGAAGATTGCAACCAGAGCGCCATTTGGAACGTATACGACAGTCAGATCATGAGGCCCGTCATCCAGCTTTTTCATTACCGCCGATTTCGTGCTGGGGCTCGGAATGTCGGTCTCATAGCGATGGTCTTCCGTTTTGAAAGTCAAACGAACCACTTCATTTCCTGGATCCGCGGCCCTGATGTCTGTCTCAGCAATTTGAAACGGCTCGACGTGGATGGAAACATCGTCATTCTTGATTGAGTCCCCTCTCGGGTGGATCTGATGGGAGATGCTCTCTGTAGCATTCAAGAAGCCAGAAATGGCGCTCGTCACATTTTGAAGAACACTGCCCTGCTTGACTTTCTCGCTCTCGAACCGTTGAACATGAACGAGCTCAACTGGATGAATTGTCAGATTGCGAATGGTGAAGTTGGCCATTGTCGCGGAATGTTGTTGGTCGTGACAAAGGGCTCCAGCTTATCAATCGCGATAGGATACCCGGGGTCAAAAGCGAAGATGAGAAAGACCAAAGAAGACGTCTGTTAGAACATGCGTAAAGGCTACGATTCTCCTTCGGAAAATTTACAGTCTAACTAGTGACAGCCTGCATATTCCTATGCGGATGGGTGGCTATGGTGGTGGGCCATACGACTGCGGATTACTCTTGGAAAGAGGGGGCAGGGCAGGACATGAGGGGCAAGCTGAGGAAGCATCCCGCAGACCATTCACAAGCTTTGACAAAGCGGGACGGACGACCAACTAGCAGCCAAGCGCATTACTGTTAGAAAACTTGGGATCATGTCGCGCTGGTGATAAGCCTGATAAGCCCTCGATTGGAGGGCAGCAAGGCCGAGCCCGGAGAACCTGGTCAGTTCCCGCAGAAAGTGGTGGCGTTTTGCTAGAACCCTTGGTTCAGCTACCAGAGCACCAATCCAAGACCACCTCAAAGCCAAGTGTGGTCTTCATGAGCGACGGAGAAAGAGCAAACCAGATTTGGGTGAGCCGGCAACCCAGATTTCAGTCAGGTAGAATGAATAGGTGGGCTCATTTGCAACCACCAAAGCGACCGCTAACAGGAGGATAATATGCATCGAAAAGCACGACATAGTGTCGATTGAAGACAACAACAGGGCAATGATGTACATAGCTAGTGCTATTGGGGCTTACCATGATGATCGCCACGCAGCAGCCCAGGGCCTCCTCTCTGCCACTAGTGCTTTGGTCTGGCCGATGGTACTATCAATGGTTGGAAGCCTTCGGCAATTCTCGCCACAGCAAGAATATCTTTGGATTAACTTGAATAGCGTGGCCACATTGCTGGGACAGGCTGGCTGAGGCCGGGACGCCATGAAAACGAATTGCCGGGACGCAATATGGATACTAGCGTACCCAGCCGGCTGGTACGGTCTGAGGAGGCTGGTGATGGTTGGCGGTAAAGATCCAAGCCACCGGCTATGGCGAAGGCAAGTCCTCCTTGGCAGAGCGACGGATCCCGACGATTTGGAACAGGCTACGGGTTGTGGGAAGGCGCGCCAGATTCCTGGGAACGCATGAGAAGACTGGTCAGACGGGCGAGAGTCCCGAGGAGCCCCCTTGGGTTGCCAGGCGCAATGTCTGCACACGGTTTGACGCCCCAAGCATCGGTCCAGGTCACAGAAGCGAGAGAATGGGGACATCTGAGAGAACAGTCAAGTTCTGAGAGAACAGTCACGAAGACGAGAATTGAGTGAAATACTGAGAGATGTGATAAATTTAAGCCGATTACTAACGCCGAAATAGACATTGGGCTCACACTGCTCCTATCAGCAGCGGCCAGGGGGTATCCCACAACCTCATGTATATGCAACCATATCCAACCAGAACAGAGAGAAGTAAAGTAAAGTAGTAGACAAAAGCCAACATGACCCAAGCGCTCAATTACTCAGTCCTCCTGCGCTTCGTAGGCTCCTCTTCTCCGTCGTCGCCCTCTCCTCCGGCCTCTCGTTGACGACGAAGCTGGCCCGTCTGCCGCAAGACTTCGTTGATGACCTTTTCGTCACCAATGACATTGCCCGTCCCTTGTACCTCGACACCAGCATCGACCTCGATTTTGACAGGTCTAGGTCGACCGTCCTCGTCGATCATGGGGATGCCACACTGACCAGAGCTATTCTCCTGCAGGGCAACAACCACAGCACGAGCGATAGCCTTGGCATTGTCGGCGGGACTGGTATTGCAGCAGACCAGGTTGTTGTTGCTTGAGATTCTGACGGAGGTGTTGATTCGCAGGCTTATGGGCGATTGGCCCTCGTCGGCGTCGCCCTCGTCCTCTCCAGTGATGACGGCGGTGATGGGCTCCCGGCCGATGACGACGGGCTCCCGAGGCATGTTGTGGTAGTATGGTGCTTCCACAGCAGGCACTCTCGGGAGACTGTATCGTCGTGGCTGGGGAGAATATGCCGGAGGAGGAGAAACGCCGTTGGCAGCTTCTTTTAAGAGGAGTCCCCGGGGGTCAAGAATCGTTGTGATGGCAGCCTCCATGGTGGTCATGTTGTGAGAGGGTTGCAGGTCTCAGAGACGGAGCTGCGGTTATATAAAAATTATTGCAGAGGTGATGTTTCGAGGAGCTTTAAGAGGCTCTCTAGACGACAAGAAGTCTGAAGATGTGTTGCAAGATTGTGCAAGGGGAAAAGGGAGGCGGATGGGAAGCTAGGTATTGTGTTTATAGTGTTTCCAACCGCCACACGACCTTCAGAAACGCCTGCACATGTATAGGGATGTAGTTGGCATGCCCGTCGCACCCAACGTGGCCGAAGACAAGGCCGAGTCGGCTTTTTTACAAGACGCCCTTTTTTGGTGTCCCGAAATGCCTGGTTTGGGCTTTTTTGGCTTCCGTCGGCGATGATGAGCGCGGCCCAGTCAAAAGGCGTCCCCAAGGCTGGACGTCCCAACAGACCCGAGTCTAGCGCCACAAGGCAACGGCGACGTCTCTCGGCGGTGTTCCGCGACAGGCAGGCCCTGACAAGGTTTCTGGTCAATGTACGTACTGGACGGAACGTCACAGGCGGCCCAGACTGATGGGATGATGGATGGCGGGTGGTGTATACGGCAACCAGTCCAAGACGAGTGGCGGCGATGAGACTCAATAAAAAAGCAGATAGAGGAGCAAAAACGTCGATTAAAGCGTATCAAAGGGGACCCAAGATGCTTTTTGTCAGGAAGAAGATGGTGGAAAGCGTGCCGTCTTTAATATTATAGAAATTCCCTGGCTCATGGTGGTCTATTATATCTCCGTTTTTTTTTCCTCTCTATTTTATTTTGGGTTTTTTTCTATTCTGTCATCGGGCTCGCAGGAAGCACGGGTCACCTACGTGTCAGATCAGGAGAATCAATGGCAAGAAAAAAACCACAGTGACTTGTTCTTCCGGGGGCGCATGGGGTTTGAGAAACACGGTGTCTGCCTCTCCGGCACACAGACGCAAGACACACGCCCCCCTCTCTTGGATTTTAAAAAAAGAAGGATTGACAGAGAAGGCCTATTATTCTACAGACAGGCCCTGCGCGCACGCCCCGTTCTCGTTGCTGCACGGCAAGGTCCAGGCGATTTTGAATGGGGGCGGGCAGGTGGCATGGCTTTTTTTCCACAGCAGACACGGATACTCGCACGCCTTCTTGTCACTCGTCCATTCGAGGGCGTAGTGAGAGAGGGAGAGAGAGTGTGTGTGTGTGTGTACGGAGTAACGGGCCACCACCTCCTTTTGCACCTTCAATATCCTACCATCACGTCCCCCCCCTTGTCCGCACGCCTTGGGCAAACAATACATCACGGGCCCTCGCCAGCCTCATCCGCTCGCTCTCTTTTGACTTGCTGGCTCTAGCGATGGTGTTTCACCTTGTAGTTACTCCGTACGTAGTATAATGCGACGTGCCGTCTACGACGTGTTCTCTGCCCTCACCAATCGCACACCGCGTATTCTGCCTCTTTTCCTTTTTCCTCGGTTTCGCTCTGCACGGCAGCCCAATCGGGAGAATGGGCACACTATTTAGTGTTTTTTTGTTTTTTTTCCTGTTTTATTTCGGCTTATTGTTTTTTGCAGCCGTTTACTATTCTTATTAGTATTATCCCCCCGCCGCCGTCCTTGGCCACGGTCACAATTGCTTGCTGGTCCTGATGTGCTGGCAGGGAAGGGAGGGCCGTGTGGTGCTTCATCAGAGACAATTCATCGAGCAAATTTCCCAATGCCAGATGCCAGATGCCCTCTGTCCCCCATCTTTGCCTGTGTCTCTGTCCCTCTCTGGAGCCACCCCGTGCAATTGGGGGCCAAGACAGCAAACCCAGTCTTGCCATTCATTCCACTGTTTGGAACTGGCCCTTTTTCTTTCCTTTACGGGAAATGGGGTGTGTGTATTGTCTCCCGGATAAAAGATCGTGTGCAAAGGGTGGAAACCACCCGATGTTGCACTGCAGACGGGTTACACCGCATCTGTCAGGCAAAATGAGGCTGCTTATTATGTACTGCACACTATGTTGTGTTGCTTTCTTTTTGCGTCTATGAAAGGACTACATACTACGTACACATGTACATACGTCCCTCCACAGCCGCCGGCACCCCGTTTGGTTGGACGATACATGCGCCCGTGTAACCAGCTCGGCGGATCGAAGCTATGAGACACGGGGCTAGGCTCCGGAACCGTGGGATATGGCGTATTGTTTTTTTTTCCTTCTTGTTTTTAGTTCGCCGTTTTTTTCCTATTATGAGCTTGAAGGCTTTTTTCCTAATATATCTCTTCCTATTTTCCTACGCCTCCAATGTATATCAAAAGAGGTGGGGGGAGGCCTGGCAAGATTGCATGTTTGCATGCTATTCACGGGTACGACTGGCAGCGGCATGGTATTGTCGACGGGACAAAGTGCCCGTTGGCAGCGACGCCTCATTCCTTCTCAGTGGGTGCCGACTTATTTCCGTAACAGGCACATCCATGGCCGAGAGAGAGAGAAAAGAGTCAAGTGTTTGGCGACACCGCCCACCGGCCCGGGGGAGGATCATGGCCCGAATAGGCGCGTGGTGGTCACGGCTTGGTATGTATGGGAAAAGTGAAAATGGTCCGACGCTCTGCATACAGGCTTGCCGTGGACAAAAAGAGTCGATGGCTTCACCAAGACGGCTGGGCACCTCGGTCAGCGCAAGAGGCGTCACACCGGTATTCATATTGTCCTCGTCGTCCGGGTAAAAGTGACGGGGCCAACAGCACGCGGCCGCTGGCGTGCGTCACACGGCGCCCGGCTTGCCTGCGGCAACACAGGCGGGAAAAAGACGCCAGATGTGACCAGAGACGACTCGACTTGTTTTCAATGACTTTTAGACTTCCTATTGTCCGTCTCCACAGTTGCTATTGTTGTCGAAATCGGGGCTGGCCCATCGGCCCATTGACTCCCCGATCAGGCTTAGCGTCCGTGT